CATTCACCCCCCCCCACACACAGTATCACTATCTTCGTGGGGACCTCCTTCAACCTGAGCAAATCCGGGCCTCGTTTCCAGGGTCCCTGCTTACGCTCCATCTGAGTGCTGCTCAGAAACCAGCCATTTCCACAAATCGCTTGGCAAACTGCTCACGCGCTGTGTGCCGCTGATAAGGTAATAACCTGCACCTGCACGCCCCCCCCGAGCTCCTCACACTGCTCCACCTGCAAGGAGGTCGGCCCCCCCGATCCCTGCCCCACCCGGAACCGCCGTGTAGATTCAATCCCCTTACAAGTTTAACACTGCGCAGAACTGGACCTGCTGAAAGAGCAGAACATGCTGAAGCCCTTCTGACATCAAGCTCAGAGGCATCGCCCTCGACTCCCCCTCCCCCACTGAAACGTCACATGACTGTGACAGTCCTATCATGTGACTGGTGTGGGCTTAGTGCAGGGTTGGGCAATCTTATCCGCAAAGGGCCGGTGTGTATGCGGGTTTTCGCTGAAATTCCCTAATTAGATTACTAATTAAAGCAGTGATTGGCTGAAGAGTCCTCACACCTGGGTTTGAACAGCTGACCTACAGGTTATCCCAAAAACCTGCATACACACCGGCCCTTTGCGGATAAGACTGGCCTCCGCTGGATCATTCAGCCTGTGACTTTTGCACTTAAAATCAAGACCAGGGGACCTTTGGAACATAGTTTTCCTGTGGTTTGTCCCTGCTATACTTTGCAAAATGATATGTTCGTGCTCATTTGAGATGAAAAGACCAACACAGAGACCCTACTCTCCTGGTAGACAAAGTCAGGCACTCCCACCAAACCCTCAAACACAAACTCATTCCAAATAAAACCAACCGACATCTAATATCTACAATGAGCAGTAGTCTGTGCACAGTCAGTCTATCTTCGCTAATCAAATCACGTAACTGCAAACTGAATTACATTTCCCGGGCTGGTAGCGTGACGAGATCCTTTCTTTGCGCTTATCGAGTTATTCCAAATATCGACGCCTCGCTCCGTTCTCCACGGGTACAAATGTAAAAACGACAGTGGCTTCCCCGAGAAGGGCCCCAGGCGAGGTAATGAGAGAGGAGCCAAACAGAAACCTTCAGTTATATGGGCCGCTGCTTTCAATTCCCTCCCATGATGAGGCTCCCATGAATTCCCTCCCATGAGGGGGGCTGTTACATAAAACGTGAGAATGACAGAGCAGTGCATGCTGGGAGACGACCGCGCGGGTGGACCGCGGATCCCCTGCTGGACGAAGCTGCACGTTTCCAAGTTATAATGGGAACTTCTTACTCAGTATCTCAGACTCTGGTTGATTTTGTTGGATGGACGAGTACAAGCGGAGTAACTTCCATTAGTCGCTTCTAGCCAAGAAACTCCAGGTACTTCCAGCATCTCCATCTTCTTCTGACCCTTACCCAGTTTGTAGCCATTCCTGTTACTGCTGTCGATGGTTCAGCTTTGGCCCCAGATGCAGGAGGTCTTCAGAGGGATCTATCCTCCAGCGCCTCACCAGAGATAAACACCATGAGGCATGCCTTGGGCACGGTAAGTGTTTTCTGGACCGGCGCTGGGCTGAGATGAAGCGTGAGCCCTCAGTGACCGGGGCTCCGCACATCTTCTGAAAGCCCCGGGTTCGAGGGACCTCCTTCTGGGTTCCTCACACAGCACCCCAAGGAGCCACGCAGGTCAGCGCATCTACCAACTGGATGAAGAACCGGCAGCTAATGCGATCATTCAATGGCTGTAAATTAAACGCCCAAATTAGCAGAGCACTCAAGCGGGCTCGTAGTTTTCCCAAACAGAACAAAATCATTTCCAAAGGACCACTGCACACTCGCAGAACCTTCAAGACACATATAGATACGGGCGGCAGAGGCTGAGCCGTACAAATCGCTAACCCCTAAAAGTTTAGCGCTGGCTAAAGGGCGCGAGTGAGAGAGGCCCAGGTGGGAAGAGGCATTCAGCTCACTGACGGCCCGTTTCCACCGAGGGGCGCTCCAAGATCGGCCGGTTATGTTCCATTTCCTGGTTCTGAGGAGACTGAAGCCAGCAGATCCCGGCCAGATACCCCAGAAAGAAATAAGCAATATGAGAAATATGAATAATAAGAAATATGGCATATTCCTTAAAAAGCTGCCCAATCAGCTGCTCGGGGCTGAATCCCTTGCATGGTGAGGATGTGGGGGGGGGGGTGTTTTAGAAGAGAACAGCAAACATTACTGTTCATCTTTGCTTAATCCCCAAGAAGAGCGTGAGGCGTGCATCTCCCAGAGCGACAGCAAACGCCGCATCGCCCCTCAGTGATAATATTTGGTTTTCGGCCCATCTGCATGGCAAACCTGGGCCAATTTATCGACGGCTTCTCCAGCTAAGAGATCGTGGTCGGTCACTGTATCCCTGACAATCAAATCCAAGCCATCGACAATGATATGGGGACAAAACCACTGAGATCCATGGGGGCAGACCTTCCCATTCACTTAAGAATCTCTGCTGTCCAGTATCGGCACACAAAGATCAAGTCGTAAAAATAATGCAAAAAGAAAAGAAAAGAAAAAAAACTTCAACACAGATTCATTGAAACTCTGATATCCCACGTTCGTAAGAAGCCAGCCATATCTGTAAGCCACATCTAACAACACTTAGTATACTGTGTGCTTCTGCTCCACGATTTATACAATACTCACTATCAGGAGTCCATTATAGTGGAGTCGACCATCGCGATTTGCTGTCTGGCCAAGCAGACAAGATCTAAATCTGAGTGCTGTTATGTTCCACAGCCTTTGAGCCTAATCTCCACACCGATTCATCACATGACCTTGGAGGTAGACCCCCATGCTGACTGGTCACATGGCCCCGCGGTTAAATGTCCTCATCGATTTTTCCACATGCTCCTTTCTTGCTCCCGTTAAGTTCTTCTTCCAGAAGGAAGGTGATTCTTTTCTAACTCATGTGAGCCCTTGTTCTTCGAATGAAGCCATTGAAGGCTAAGTGCCGGGCCATGTACCTACACACAAGGTGTAACCTGAGTGTACGTACAGATGACCTGTATGTGTGTGTGTGTGTGTGTGTGTGTGTGTGTGTTGGGGGGGGGGGGGGGGGACCCCCAAACAGTCTATGTTTTTGCTCCCTGGAAGCATGTTGAGTAACACTGTACTAATACATCATAATACTATTGGTACTACATAATATTACATAATACTATTACTATTTAATACTATATTGACAATAATTTTATACAAAGGAGCATTGTTAAAAAAAAATTGATAATGTCTATCTGAAGTGAAACACTGGCACTTTGCAGTGGCCAGTGACTGAGACTGTTCTTGCTAACCCTACAGCAGTGTGGCGGTGTTTCAGTCAGCCAGAGAACACACATTTCTCAAAAACGCTAAATAACATTATTGTCACGGCAACAATCTCCCAGTAAATAGCAGAAGTTCTCCACATAACTGGTGTTACAGGTTCTTGCTGGTGTTTTTAGGGAGAGCTGGTCAAACGACAGCCAGAGCCACAGACTATCCCTAAGACAGTCACATAGAGGCGCTACGACTCTGACCGCAACTTTAAGAGCTCAATTTTGCCAGCTACTCCACTCCAAAAACAAGACGTCTTACTGACCGGTTCAAAGTGTGAAAAAAGCTGTATGATTTTTCCTGTTTGACTGGTTGAAAGAACATTCTGATATTTCCAAGGGTACCGAGAGCTGATAAGACTAGAGTGACATAAAAACTAATCCCTGATTTGGAACACACACACACACACACACACACACACACATGTAATTATATCTTTGTAGGGACCATCCATTCCTATCTATGGGCAAAACACTAATCACAACAATGACAACCTTAACCCCTACCCAGCCCTAACCTTAACCCTAAGTAACCAAACAAGATACAATGGGCATTTTTATTTTTTTGATTGAATTCACAGGTCTTTGTGGGGACCTGGAAAATGGTCCACACAATGTCAAAATAACAGGTTTTTATTACATTGTGGAAGACGTTTGGTCCCCACAATGTAATATAAACATAATCCACACACACACACGTTGTTGTAATGCAAAGGTCTTGGCATGTAAAGTGTTAAATGACTGTGGTTCCGTACATCTTGTACATATAAATCTCATAAAAGATATAAGATTCTCCCCTGTGATGAAAGCAATCCATTTTACTGTATCCCAAATTAGAGTATTTCAAAGAGCAGACACATCAACCTGGATGCCCGTGTTCTCATTTGAAACCTTATCTACTCAAATGCGCCATGAATTTCGGCGAACTTGACTGTGTAATAAGCCTTTTATCACGTCCTGAGGATTAACTTATTAAGCACAGCTCAGAAAGGCGAGGGGGGGGGGAGCGCACGAAAACCCAAAATCACGCTCTTCGGTTTCTCCAAACCCTCTGAAATCACACCCCCAAAAAGCGCATGATCGCCGCGCCGTATAATTTCCAAAACCATGCAGGGCTTTTCCCAATATACAATCCGGCATTACCCGGGGTGGGGGGGCTCCGGTTCACGTTGCTTACACTCCCACTCATTTCATAAGGTAATAAATAATTCATCCACATGCGGAGGCGTAGGACAGCCGATACGCCGTACAATAATGCAAAGCAGCGGCTTTATGGTGATGCTACAAAGGATTCACTGATCACCATCCAAGAAAATGAACATCTCCGTTTGCTAGGTGCATTAAATCCACCCACCAGTTCTTAGATTAAAGCCGAATCACACAGATAGCCTCATACTCTGCGATGCTGACAATAATTGCTCACTACGCCATGCCGAATGAGGAATAATAACAAATTTCACACAAAATGATTTGCACATGCAAATCATCTTGCATAAGGCGTAATTGTTGGGGAAATACTGACTGCAAAACAGCTGGCAGGACGTCTGGACATAACTGGACATTAGTGACAAAGAGAAGTTTTTGATCAGGGGCGACTCGGGGGGAGACGGGGTGATCTTGTCGCCTTACCATCGATGTTCTCCCTGTCGCTGATGTGCTGGAGGTTGCAGCCCGTATCTTCTCGGCTGAGGTCCGGCTCGGGCTGGTAGGAATCCAGCCGAGAATGAGCGTTTCTCCGAAGCTTCGGGCTCGCCGACACACAGCAGGACGCCGTGTTCCCCATTTTCTCCCTCCCCCTCCCCCTATCTCTCAGCGTCTCTTCATGTATGTCCCGGATCCCGTCGTATATCTTATCTTCGCCAAAAAAATAGATTTAAAAAAAAAATGTATCTAAGCCCGTCACAGATCCCCGATCACCTGGGCGGCTATGCTGGAAATGAGAAACCGGAATATATATGCACAATCATTTATATAGCGCCTGCCTGCTCCGGATCCAGGCTAACCCCCCCATCTAAGAAACAGAGCACCTCGCCTTTTCTCTCTCTTACGGTCGCATTCAGACAAAAACCGAAGTCCCCACGGCCCACGCAGTCGCCCGGCCGCTTGTCGTGACGGATCATAATAAATAATCAGTAAACGCAGTAAGATCCGCTGTCGTGCGTCTGTGATTTTCTTTGCTGGTCAATATGCGGATGACAGCGGGAGGCGTTAAATGGACGATGGCGACGCCGCCGCCGCTCCTGTCACCGGAGGCTCCGGAGCGCAGAGCCGAGCGGCCCCGAAAGGTTCCGGTTCAAGTGGGTGGAAACCAGTTATAAGTGTGCCTCTGTCGCCATCGCCCAGATCGGCGCGGTTGTGCGGGTGTCGGAGCTTCGCCGATCCGAAGAGGAGACTGAAGTCACTTCTTAAGCACTAAAAGGACATTATTTACTCCGACTATTGCTTTATATGCTTAAGCAGTAATGTGGTAAACGCCCTTTTGGAGACATGCGTATGCATCTGTAGTGCTTATCTAAGCGAATTAAGATGACGGCGTTTGTAGTAGGAAATAGTACTCTGCTTTTTATTATTATTGTTTTTTGCGATTATAGAAAGTCAAACTCCGATATTCATGAGCTGGTTGTGTTTTGTGCTTTTTGGTAGGATATGATCGTTTAGTGTCTGATAAATCGATATAATGCAAAGACCAGTCGCCTTTCGGGAATGCTAACAGCGAAGGTTACAGCCGAGTAGTAACCTTGTAAAGTACCGCTTCTTACAATGTGCATTTGAAGTGTTTAATGCTTTTCATAGGTGCAGTTTATGGTGCATATAAATATATGGGTTCGATTTTCTTCCAAAACAAACGTGATATAGGACGTACGGCTCATCTTGGAGTACACGGTATACAAGTTTTTAGTATAACTTGATCTCACTGGCATTTTTGTTTGTATTTTAAAATGTTGCTTACAAGGGTAGGCCTACATTTTCTAGAATAACGGCCACCTAATAAAATATAGCCTACCCCATATTATACAGTATGTGTTAAGTTGTATCAATTCAACAAAGACAGATGCAAAACAAAGTAGCCATAATCCTTAAATATTTGCCATATAATAGTCTACACACAATTACGAAATCAATTATGATCAGTGGGGCTCTTGAGCCCTTAAGTTTGAATCAAATCCCGTGACCTTTGCGCAGTTGGCATAAATTACAATCTTGACACAACCAGAAGTTACATTTCCAGCAAAAGTTATATCAATAAGAAAGGCTGCTAAGGCAAATGGCTTTTTCGTTTCCATCCGAACCCCCAGAGCATTTTTGCTACACATCTAGACTGAACCGTCCTCTCAGCCACAGTCACCCTTAACCTGAACTGTGACCCCCGGTGACCCGCCGGGGGGGCTGATCGACCGTGGAAAGAGGCTGGTGCCGTGGCTGACGGCGCGGCGCTCACAGATGCTGACTCTTCTTTTGTATTTGCATTTCGTGGCCTGGATGGTCAGGGAATCTCTCTGCCTGCACCCGGTAATCAATCCCATCGACCCGAAGCACTCATTTAAGCGGCCTCGCATCAATCATTACTTTCGCTGATTTAAGAAAAGCTGGACATTATGCAATGGCAAACAACGGGAGTCTGGGCATTTTGCTTGTTAGACATTTAATCTGTATTTGAGATTATCAGTATCCGTCATTTTTGTGTTATACGGCTTATATACACAATTAGACAAATTCCATGACGTATCTCGATAAAAAAAAAATGCCTCGATACAATAATTTTATGAATATTTTTTTTTGGAGGGAAGTACGTGAATCACACGTTATCAACGTTAGGAGGTTGTATTGTGTCTTTGAAATCAAATAAGAGGAATCGTATAATAAACATTCTTTATGACTATGGTCCAAATGGACATAAAATCTGGTAGACAGCAGATCAAAACAGCAGTTTTAAGAAATTGCCACTAGGTGGAGACATAATACTTAGTCACGAAGATAACGAGGAATTCTTCGTTTCGGAAATTGAATTTTTTGAGAAAATGCGTGTAGCAACTGTTTTATTCAGGGATCACTCAGGCTATAGGATATATTCTATTTAAACAAACACTGTATGTTGTAAATATATTTTATAGATCTACACGCACATTCTTTTTTACATTTAGGAGACTTGCAAAACACTGGTCCACTTTTAACTTGGTTACAATTTGCCCGAATAAGGTGTCAGTTCTGATCAGGGTTTTTCTTGAAGAGCATCGAGGTTCGGTATCCAAATATTATCTTAACTCACCACTTGAGGGCACAACGGTCCGACGTGGAAATTTCCATGTGTGCCGCAACACTAGGCAAACGTAGATGTCGCAACTGTATAGCCTATTTCAGATCAACACTTTTCCCACGATTGCGTAAAATCTTCCTGTATTTTGCAACGGGCTGCCTCGCTAGCGCAATCGATTAACAGTCCGCGGATAGGCCTGTAAAAAAAAAGTTTAGCAGAGAAAAAAATGTTTGAAATATCCAGTTTTATCTTTTATTACATTTATGGCATAGTACAGTTTGTGGGTTGTCCGCATTTAGATTCTTGCTGTTTATAAATAAATAATGAATGGTAATAAAAAGAGGATTACAGAAGACAGAAACCACAGCGGACAACGTTTTCCACCCAGGCGGAAATTGTGTGTGTATATGAATCATTACACACAGGCAGGAGTTTTTGGAGCAACAGAAAAGTACAGAAAGCTGTATGCAGATGTGGGACACAGGGCTAAGAAATGTCAAGGTTCAAATGTGTCAATCGAAAGTACTTGAGCCGTAATTTATACATTAATATGAACCTATGGGGTCGGCGGTGTTGGAATTTACACTGGTATTATAGAAGTATTGTACGGCGGGTTATAATCCCCTTTTAGTATGCGAATGATCAAAGTCTCTCCAGTTCAGAAACAAGAACTATAAAATGCTATAACGTTTGGTTGCATGTGTGAGCTGTCGGTTCTCGCTACTGTATTGTTACTTGATGTAAACAAACGTCATTCACAAAAAAATGTGCTTCTGAAACTGAAGTATTCCTCATGTGCAGAATCGTCCATCCATTTCGATCTTTTAAAAATAAGTACCCTAATGTATAAATCGATACTCTTTTTTGACTCGTTCTTCATAACTTATATAAAACTATAAGTTTATAAAGAAGAACCATGCAATTAAGTTTTTAATGGTCAAAAACAATTTTAATAAAAACCTATCACTGGGACATCTGTCGTTCACTATATACCTATTTGGGCGTTCAAAAAAGCAATCGATAGAATAGCACAGCTGTTATACAGAATCTGAAAGGCTGGGTTTCACGTGACAATCCAAAAATAAAAGTTTCTTACAATTCTTTTGCAATAGAAAATAGATCTCTAGAAAAAAAGGAACTGATAAATTGATAAAGTCTTGTTGTGGGGCGGCATTGAGAAGTCCCAGTTCCACTCTTATTCTGTTTGGTTTAAATGGGAGTTATGGGGAAATTTACAGGTAGTAAGATCATTGTAGGCCTATATGAGAGTTGGGACTCAAAGCGCTAGGAGGACGGGGAACGTGGACGGGGCACACACACTGCGCCTCCGTCCCATCCGGATGCGCCCGGTTCGTCCTCTTCCTGTTGATATCCCACCAGCTATAACCTCGGGGACTCCGGCGTGGAAAGGTTGGATTTCCAGGCTTTCGCAGTTTCCCTGCAGGAAGCATAAGCAAAGGGGGCAACACACATTCATACACGGGGGGGTCGGCAGGGTCTGGGGCTCCTCTAGCGCCCCCACCATGCCCCGGGAGCGGTGCAGCGGATCTTCAGTCCTTCGGAGACACTCGCTCCCGCCACCCCCCCGGAGGTCCGTCTGGCTGCGCACCCAGCGAGCCGCTACTCTGCTTTATGGCAATAGATGTCCTTTAAGGCCTTGAGCTCCTCGATGAGAGTCTTGTTTTGGTTTTCCAGCACCGCCACCCGGTTCTCCAGACATTTAACGTACTCCTTCTTCTTCCTGCGGCACTCCCGCGCGGCCTCCCTGCGGGCAGAGGTGGGAGCGGCTCCCGTGAATGCCGGCGACCGGTGGATCACACACAAACGGCTCAGTCAATCCCTAAGTTAATCACCGTACTCTAAGACGAAAAACCTATCCCGCACTAAAATCAAAATGGACATCGTAAATTTTTTAACAAGTAATAAATCAGTGCAGATTAAATTGTCGAGCGATTTCAAGAAATATCACCACCTCTCCCAAAGCACAGTGTGCAGGTCGCTATTATTTGTGTGCGTGTGTGTGTGTCTAAGTGTGTGTGTCTATGTGTGTCTATATGTCTGTGACTGTGTGTGTAATGTGTGTGTATGAGTCCACACCATAAATACACCTGCAACCTGGGCAACAACACACCAATGGATTGTGCCAGGAATGTGTTTCAGTTTACACAGGCAGCCAGAGAGAGCATAACATTATCACTACACACAGGGTGAAAAAGTTCACTACGAAGGAGCATGTTAAAAAGTGTGTAATGTGGTTCCCATGACACCTCTGTGGAGGGTGTTACGAAGGCAGAGTGTGCAAGCCCCGCCGGCCACGTCGCCCCCTACCTGTTCTTCATGAGACGGACCTCCCTCTTGCGTGTGGCCTCCTCGGTGTGCTGTGGCTGAGGGCTGTGCAGGGCACCAGGAGAGGCGGCCATCACGACGTTCTGGGCAAGGCTGGAGACCGGCGTGCGGATCTGATAGGCTGGCATGTCCCCGGTGGCAGCTACGGGAAGTGCAGCAGAGCCAAGAGGCGGTCAGGAGGCACAATAAGGCAACCAAGCACCGTGAGCTTCCACAAGTGATAACTCTGTGTGGACAAAAATGAATAAAAGCCACAAACAAACGCTACAGCCGAGCTGTAGACACCTCGATCCCACCAAACGTGGGCCTTCTTAGGACCATAGAAACTGATCACATTTCTTTGTCTCATGATTTTCTGTTATTCCTCTTTAAGAACCGAGACTGAAGGCAGCTTCAGAAAGATGCCACTGAAGCCAAACTCCAGGATCTTTGAAGCTTCCACCTGCTGAAATCTTGAATATTTATATATACAAAAGAAATACTAATTTGAGCTTCAAAACAATATACTAAATAATAATACTACTATTTTAAAATGAGAAAGAAGCTGTGCTTGTCATTAGGTGATTTCTTCTTTTCTTTGTCTCTTTCCAAAGAAGCTAAAATAAAGATATGAAAGCAGGAAAGATATTGAGAAACCAGGAGGAAGTTAAATGGTACAATGAGAACAGTAGGTACTAGCGCTAGATCTTCATCAGCATTATTAAAACGCTGCTTTCTTTTATGTGAAATCGCTTTTGTTACAAATGTTTAGTTGCTCAGGGGAGCTGCAGGGCCGCCCTCCTCCAGACCTTGAGTCTGTCTCTGCGTTTGATACATAAACACAGTAACTCTCAGGCACTGACACCGAAGGCCATCAGTGACGAACACCGCAAAGCACAGGACGGTCTCAGTCTCCACCGCCTCGATAATCGGTGTTCTCTCTGTGCACTGCGATAACACAGACAGACCGAGCACCGTGAACAGAACGTACTAATAATCAATTACTCAATATTAATGAGCATAAATTATTTTTTTAAAACTGGAGTTCACTCCTCGCTGACGTCAACCGCAAAGGAAGCAACACAAGTGTCCGGATCTCCCCCAGCGCTCCCTTTGTCAGCCATAAAAGGTCCCTTCGCGACTTTCAGCACCGTCTGCCTTAATAACGGTGCAAGCAAATGATTAAACTGGCGGCAGGTCGCAGCAGCGAGAAGCGCGGCTCTTCACGGCGATTGACGTCAGTGCACGTCCTAGCCGGCGGCTCCTTCCTGGAAGCGCGGGCGGCTGCCGGGACTGAGCGCGCACAGGCTGCCGGACTGAGCCGCTGAACCGGCTGATCGCCGCTCGCAGCCGCATTACGCGGAAGAGTCCCCCCCCCCCCCCCCGTAATACTAAGGTTTCGCTCTCTGTTACTCTGTATTACAGAAATCGGTGGGGGAAAACCAACATCCTGCCCCAAAGTCTTTAAATCAACATTTTTTCATGCAGTTATGAGTCTTTCCTCCACGAAAATAAACAACTTTTAAAAGTTAACATCATTTTAAAAGTCCCAAAAGTGTTTTGTCGATTTCAGTACACGTCTTTCGCATACTTATAATGTATGTTAAAAGTGATTTACCGAATTACGATTAACAATGAATCAAGAAGCATCAAATATACAGTCGTTTTAATTGCTTTGTATAGTAACAAACAATTCTGATTTTAAAAACACCGTCAGACCCGAGAGAACTGTAAAGTATAGAGAAACTCATCATACCTGCCTCAGTCTCATCACCAGTAACAGCCATGTTAGTGTTTAATAATCCAAGAGACAGTCTCTGCTGCCTTCCACTGGAAGTGGTCCCCAATTAACCACAGTATGTGTAGGACAACAATTAGGGGAATTGGCGTCACAATGACGCCACTCGCTCGCTAAGGTCAATAGCAGTGCCGGCTCGCGCAGCCCTCCCACTCCGCCTGGCCCCGCCCCCTGTTTTGGCAGCTCAGCAGACGTGGGTCTGGAGGGGTGTGGTGCCTCTATCTTTAGATCTTTGACGCAATTTGCCTTCTACATTAGAGCCGTGCAGCGGACAGGAGAATATCCTACCTGTAAGGGTTACATTCATGCAACTAATATTACAAATTGGCGGGGGGGTTTCAGTTACATAGACATACATTTCCTGCTTTTTGTGCCGGAGCTTTCAAAAACAACACTGTCCCTTGTCAAAGTGAGAGTCAGCTGAGCACTAAAGTTATTACGTTAGAAAGCAAAAACGTTGTCATTTATACACACAGACACAGACACACACACACACACACACACACACACACACACACACACCTGACAGGAAATGCATCAGCAGTATTTTTAAAATGACCTAATTCCATATAAATTTCAGAACTGGATGGGACATCTTCTCCTGGTGCTCAGTTTTATATGTGCTACTCTATTAACATACACTCAGTACACTTAGCAATCACGTAGCGAAAAGGATTAAAGTAGAAAAATCAGAGTCCATTTTAAACTTAACCTTCTAACCATCCGAGCCAACCCAAAAGAAAATGACCCGTCACCAGGCTCTGAACCGAAATCTACTGCTAATATTGTAATATTAATCTGCTTCCTCCGGGATAATAAAAGCTTTCTGATTCCAGTGACAGTCAGCACATATCCAGTAAGCAACACCAACCTGACATTATCTGCAACTGCATGAGGCAAGAGACAGCCTCAGAAATGACGTGGCCCCAGGTGAAGTCCAAACTACATCTTTTGTAAAATTTGTTTTGATTCATCGATATGGATAATGCATAATAATAATAATAATAATAATAATAATAATACACCTTACCAAAGTGTTTATCACATTTATATGTTGTTTTTTAAATTCTGTTTATGTGTATGATTATTATTATTAGTAATATAATATAATATAATAAAATATCACATGTATGGCAGTGGTCCCATAAGATAATAATGGAGCTGAAAAATTCCTAGCGACGCCCCCTCCTCGCCTAGCGACGCCCCCTCCTCGCCTAGCG